TATACAGCAGGGCAAATAAGCGAAAACATGCTACTGCTGGCGCCTCCCTTCTTTCTTTCCCACCTATTTCTCTTACTCCCATCCCGACCCCCATTACTAACCTTGCTTCTATTGTTCCCAGCTTAATTGACAGCAACCGAAGTACCACTGGAGTAGAACCATCTGCAGCCACCTTGTCGCGACGCGCACCGGACACCTACCAGCAACAGTCCCCTATAAGGCCACACTGTCCCGTTTCCATGGCGACGTTCAACGTTCGCACTCTAAGAAAACAGGTCAACAGGTTGCACTCGCACGTACATTGGACACACTGGGTATTGATGTGTTGTGTGTCCAAAACTGGGATTAATGACCCTAATGGGGTTGTTGAATTAATTACACCCGGCGTATCCTCTCATTGTTGGTTGCGCGCATCCGGAGATGCCGATGCAGCACTCACGGGTCAAGCTGGTGTAGGTATCATTCTCAGCTCCAAGGCTGAGCCATCATTGGTTGGTTATATTCTGGCGTACAGCCGTTTGTGTGCAGTTCGTTTGGCGACTTTGACCAAGGTTGCTTCACAAAGTAGTACGAAATGCTGTGTGTTTGTGATTTTCGCTTATACCCCCACTGACTGCAGTTCTGATGCTGCCAAGGACACGTTCTATCACGAACTGAAAGCGCTGCTACGCAGTGCTACTTGTTCAGATATTATAGTACTTGCAGGGGATATTAACGTACAAGTAGTGCATCTGAGCTCTTCAGAAGCTCAGCTAGGTGGTAAGTATGGGCTTCACTCCAAACGGGCTGACAACAGCGAGCGTCTACTACTAGTGTTTGGGGAGCACTAGTGATTTCTTAGTAGCGCTGCTTTTAGACACAGTGGGCGCCGAAGTGCCAGTTGGCGTCCTCCTGCAGCTGGCTATCGATGGACCCAATGTGACCACATAGCCATAAGTTACAGATGGCGAAGTTCCATCCTGGACTGCCGCTCGTACTGTAGTACCTGTGTCAACTCTGATCATGCCTTGGTACGTTGTCGCTTCTCCATAAACTTTACCGGGAGGCGCACCAAGCGTCCCCTACGATTGTCAACTGTGAAATTCTCTCAGTCCTCGGTCAGGCAATCCTATCAAGAAGCACTTCATACCGAACTTCTGCTGTCTTGTCTTAATGACACTGAACTTCAGTGGAATAAGATCTCGGCCGCCATGCACAACGCAGGAGCATCTGCTTGTGGCACTATCAATTGTCACCGCACCAGTCACTGGATATCCGAGAGGTTGGTGAACCTGTTGGAATCTAGAAGACACCTCCCGGCTGGCTCTGAACACAATGTGACCAGACGGGCTATTAGGTGCGAACTGAAGCGTAGTTTAGGTGCTAACAAAGAACTCTGGTGAACCAGTAGGGCTCAAGAAATGGAGGATGCAGGAGCAGTAGACAATTACCGCCAGCTCTTCCAGCGGATCCGCACCACTGGTCCCAGGAAACCAGACGTCAGTGAGGACATCAGTAACAGGGCTGGTGCACTGATACACAATAAGGAGCGCCGTATGGCTCATTGGGCGGAAAACTTTCAAGATTACCTTAGCTGTCCCGCTGCTCCCGGACCTCTTCCTACTCAGGTGATGCAGGACGAGCCATGGACAGTTAGTTTAGAGCCTCCGTCGGAGGCCGAGGTGCGAAATGCGATCACAACTCACAATCGTTTTCGTGCCGCTGGCCCGAATTCCCTCCCATCTGCACTATTTAAGGATGGTGGTGAGGTCCTCTGCAAAGCACTGACCTCCCTATTCGAACGTATCTGGAATGAAGTGTGTCCCGGCTGATTGGAACGAAGCGATTATGGGGGCAATATACAAGAAGGGCAGTCGCACAGACTGTTCTTACCACAGGAGTATTAGCCTAACGCCAGTTGTGACAAAATTACTTTCCTCGGTTATCGTTTGTCGCCTCACGCTGGAACGAGGATTTCGGATTAGGGAGGAGCAGGCCTGTTTTTGCCCAGGACGTGGCTGTATATACCATATATTCACTTTGCGTCAGGAGTTGGAGCAGCGCCATGTATACCGCAGACCGACAATAGCTGTGTTCCTCGATTTCAAGAGTGCGTTCGATTCAGTCAATGGATCAATTCTGTTCGAAATACTTGCGCAGAAAAGTGTCCCCAAGTAATATATGAACATCCTTCGTGCTCTATACTCGAACACTACAGGTCGCGTCAGGGTCTACGGTGGCCTATCGGATAGCTTTCCGACCACAATTGGCGTTCGTCAGGGTTGTCCGATTTCCCCATTTTTGTTCAATTTCGTCATGCATTCTATCATGGAGTGTTCCCTTGCGGGATCTCACGATGTAGGCGTTGAAGTGCTTCCTGATGAATGATTAGTTGATCTTACTTATGTAGACGATATCGTCTTGCTTTTCGACGGTGTTGCGGCGGCACAACCAACCCTCTGTAGCCCGTCCAGAGTGGTCCCATTATTTGGTATTCGCTTTACACCTTCAAAGTGCAAACGGTTGCTATAGGACCACCAGCCACTTTATGACCCCTTGACCCTTGCTAATGAGGAACTCGATGTGGTTGATCATCTCACTTATCTTGGCAGCTGCATCAGCAGCGATGGGCACATAGAAACTGACGCCAGCTCACGCATTGCGAAGGACAGAGCTGCCTTCATGAACTTGCGGCATCTTTGGCGACAGAAGGGAATTTCCCTTTGTCTGAAAAGCTGTGTATACAAGGCCACAGTGAGGGCCCTCCTACTCTTTGGTAATGAAACTTGGCCCCTTCGGTCTGAAGATCTGAGGCGTCTTCAAGTCTTTGACCATCGTTGTATGCAAAACATTTCTGGTGTCGGATGGCACCAGAGTGTCCGCAATAACGATGTGCTTAGGCAAGTACTGGGTGGTGATAACCACGCTAGCTCCCTAGACCAACAGATAGCACTGAATAAGTTGCGTTGGCTCGGGCACGTGCTACGTATGCCTGTTCACCGCTTACCTAGGAGGGCCTTGTTTAGTCTGCCGAGTGTAAGGTGACGCAAGGCTCAAGATGGACAGAGGTTGAGATGGCAATGAGAAGTGAAGTTATTGACGACCAAACGGGGTGCCATTGGGCCGTCTCGTCTTCCAGGCTGGAGTCCACGTGACTCGCCTTGTGCTTGGCTGAAGACTTTACAGGACATGGCTCGCAGTAGACACCAGGGGCGCGTCTGCTGCCGTCTCCTAATCAGATTGCCTGTTTAAAGTGTGTTTGCTGCTGAGTTATGAGTGAGTGAGAGTGAGTGCACGCGTAAAGCTGGTGAAGGGCAGGCCGGCAGGCTACATTGACCTGTGTTTCGTCGAGCGTGCTGGGTACGAACAGTCACATGACGCTGTCCAGCGATCGTTAGCTGTCAGCCAACTTCGCTTTGACTGCGACGGCTGAAGGTTATGGCCCTACGTAGGCACTGGAGCGATAGATGGTTATCGGTATGTCTCGCTACGCAAAGCGAAACAGCCATGCTACCCAGCTAACTCTGCTTAGACTACCTGAAACATGCTACCACAAGTGCTGTTTGAATGTGCGCACATGACGGTATCCCGGCGAACCGGATCTTTTGCATTAGGTGAGGGTGATATTAGCCAGCGCATCGTGTCACTCTGTCAATGAATCACTGCCTCAAGTAATGGAACACGAGCAGATACTCCTGTCCGGTACGTATCTGCCATCGGGATCACTTAAGGTGCCAGTTACTAAGCACGGGCTTGTTATTCTGCTGGATGATGGATGTGGTATAAAAGCTGTAGCAACTGTGCACAGATACAACGCTACGAACGCAAGTATGCGTCTCGTCACCACCCGGTACCTGCTTGAACTAGTGAAGAAGTTCGAGCAAACTGGGAGTGTGTGCGACCTGAAGAAAACCGGACCACCGCGCATCACCACAGATGACTGTTCAGCTTACGCTGTAATCAATGAAGTATCGGAAATTCCCAAGCTCAGCATTAAGCAGATCGCGATACACTGGATTTTAGCGGGAGGGAAATCTCGCAGATGCAGTGCACTTCAAGTGCAGGTTTTAAAGCCCTGCGATCTGGAGAAGTAGCATGAATTTTGCCGCTGGTTTCTGGTTCACAGCGACATCCATACGGTCATCTTTATACTTGTCGAATAAATATGCGTGCTAGACATTTGTTGTCGTATCGTACAATGCCGCTCGCTAAAGCATCGTATAAAAATTTCTCCTATGGGCATGATATGGCCGCCAACGCAGACCTAGCTTACACGCTTCGAGGCGAGGAGCCGGAAGGTTGCTAATTGCGCTTCGTCTGGCCGACTCAAACACACGTAGCCACCGTTCGAACGGTTAAGCTAGCCGAACATCCATCCATCTTGGTGGTTCGGGTCTACCTCGTTCCAGCAAATAGTTCGGCGGCAGTGTTCCTGGACGTGGTGGGTTTTTGTCTGGTAACCGTCCTCCCTATAACATGCCACACATGTCTGCTCAACAACACTGTGACGTGGTGGATATGACTCGCCACCAACTAAAGTCGCTCCATTGCTTACCCGGCCAATTGCCTCAAGTCACGCATCCATTTAGCACTGGCGCCAGGATCAAAAGTGCAGGGAACCGTCTACCAATACCATAAAAACAGCTATACACGCCTATATGCACACATACATACATATATCTACATAGGTGACAACCCTAGTAATTGACCACCTTTTTGCACTTAAAATGATCATGCCTGTGTGGGCGTGCCTGGCTTAGTCGAGACTAAACATTTTATTTTAATTATTTTACGATGCCTAGGTACGGTGGAAAATGTTTTTTTTAATATTCTACACATCGTACCCAGATAGGCACTGGAATCAGGTCACTTCATACTGGTGTGTATCGCTGGGTGAACTAGAATCACCATGCAAAATCGAGCTTCCAACAAACCATTTTGTCAAAAGGTAAAGGGCTGGGAACAGGCCTGAAGCGGGGGAAAGAGAGTGACGTGGGTTTGAGGTTTTACCAAGCGCCCTATTACTCTCCGTCCCGGATTCTGGGGTTTGGATCTGAGTTGAGTGAAGAGCCGGCGTCGAAGATGGCCGGGAACAGTATGAGCCGAAGTGTTGCGAAATCGGCCCGCCTTCCTCTGCGCTCTCCTCCTGCTCCGCCCTTCGGATCATCCACGTTATTGGCGATCCAAATCCCCCCTCCATCCCGAGCCTCTGCTGCTGCTGCCCCGAAAACTGAGAAATCGATCGTTGCAATCCCTCTCGCCATCTCGTGCTGCTTCACGTTGCAGGGCAGGGACATGAAAAAATAGCAGGCGACATCTAGGAGCGTTAAGCTCCCTAGGTTCTGGGACTTTTGATCGTGACCATTGTCGTGGCGACTGACGTTTGCCCGCCTGATCTAACGGCCCGCGCGGGAACGGTCCAGTGGACACAGAATAATCGGTGTGAATGTATGCCGGTTTCATGTGCGAATTGGATTGGTGTCGGGCGGGGGGAGAGTCTACTGTGTGCAGACAAAGGAACAACTTTGCCCTGCACTGGTTAACCCGCCAACAGTTCTTCTTTTCTACTCCTTCTACCCCTTCTTTTACCTTCTTTCTTATCCTTTTAACCCTATTCTTTTTCGTACCCCTTCTTCCTTTTCCTTGCCCCTTCTACTTACCAGCTAATATAACCTTCTTTTCCTACCAAGGTAATGGTTTTCTTGTCTTTCTTCGCCGCTCGCCTGTGGAACAAACATAACATGGGCAATGTTCTCGCGGCCTCCGGGCCCTGTCAGCATCATCAATTCAAGTCCCTACAACAACAACGTCAGATAGAGGTGTGTGGAGAAACACCTCAAGCAACTGTGCCGACTGTGCCGCAGTAATAAAGGGAAAAAAAAATAAAGTCCAATATTTGTATGATTTGTATGGCCACCCAAGTGAGCTAAAACCATAAACCCGGATAGGGAAAAAAACAAATCGTTTTCCAGAAAAAATAAAACTACCACCCCCAAGCCCGGCAGACAGGCCCGCTACCACCCCACTAGAAACAAAAAGAAAATTATTCTCATCGTTTTGTTGTATAACCTCGGGGAAGGCGGCAAACTAACGAGGATAAGGAAGTGGAGGAACATATGTGGAAGGTTGGGCGGACTAAACAGCAAAATGGGATGAGGATGGGAGAGCAATGAAGAAACGTCAGTCACTGAATTCAACAAGCAAGAACACTAAAACAAAACTAACAAACACTAAAATAAAATAAAACAAACAATAATACAAAAGACAATCTATAAAAAAAAATAAAAATCACTGGGGTCGGGCTGTTTTTCCGGCTTTAGTTGTCGTGGGGGCTGGTTTGTCGCGGTCGGCGGCTTACGGGCTGGTGCCTTTGGACGAGTCCATGTTTGGGCGAGGCTTTCTTGCCACTGAGGGGATCGCTTGCATTTTAATGCTGCGGCGATTTGCTATTGGGCTTAGGGGCTCGGCTGTTTGTTGGTTCCTATGTTGTTGTTTTTCCTTTCTGTCGGATTTTGGGCTTGCGGGCTTAATTTTCGGCGGCTGGGCTCATATTGCTTTTTTTTTAGGCCTGTCGGCTTTTTTTTTTCCGGCTTTCTGAGGGTCGGCTTTGTTTCTGCTTTCCCCGCGTATAGTAAAATGACAGGGGGGGGACTCAGTGCAGGGATCCGCACGCTGCTGTCCTGGTGTGTGCAAGCGGGCAAGCAACGCTCGCGCGAAATTCGTTCGTCTGGTGGGTGCTAACGTCCGTTCGTGATGGGAGACCCTTCCTCACCCATTCGTTTGACGCTATATTCGTCGGTAGTTAGGGCTATGGACAGAGATTGTGACGCCGCCAAAACCGAGGCCAGCTCAGAAGTGAGGGACTTCAGGTCTCTCCTTGGCGTGAGCTAGTGAACCAGCGTGTGGGCGACAGCTATTCGGCTCCGTGAAACATGAGTCCAGCGACACGGGGCGTATGTGAAGTGCTGCATAGTTATGCGTCCGCCCAGATTTGCTTCGGCGGGGAGGCCACCACCTCGGAGCACTGTGCGCCAACCGTGTGCTGGCTGGTGATATGAACTGAGGTGGACTGTTGGCGTGTACTCATCGACGTGCATGATGTCCCCGTGTTCTATGGCTCCATCTTCTGCGGAGGGCCTGAAATGCGGGAAATGACGGTGCTGAAGCGGGTGAGGTGGTCCGTGCCCTGTCGTGCCGTAAACCAAGCGGAGAAAAAGCGCGGGACGAACAGCGGGGGGTGGGGGGGGGTGTGTGTTGTTTCCACCAGAGGTGACAGACGGTGCGTGAAGGTGGGCAGCTCGAGGCTGGAGCGAGAGATGAGGTAACTCAGCCGCTGCAGTGGTCCGGCGGCGTAATAGGGGAGGGACAGGAGAGACAAACCTCGGACAGGAAAACGCGGCGTGCTACGTTCTCATGAAGTGGGTGTGTGGGTGAGGCATGAAATACGTTACCCTTTAGATGCACCCCTGTCACGATCTCGCTGTCGGAGGTGGGTAGACAGGGCAGGGCGGCTGCTGGTCGGACATTGAAGAGCAGGGTCGGCGCGTGCAAGGGGGGCAAAAGCACTGTGCGGGCGGTGGCCGAGGAAGGGTCGTGAGCGCGGCTGGCGAGCAAAGGGGGGGAGA